GTCATTTTGACATTTGCAATTGATAATTTGACACCTGAAAACAAAAAATAAAGTTTTCACAATTTTATGCGCATGAAGTCGTATGGGAACAGCTAGTAGATAAAATAATTAATAGTATATTCGCTTAATAACTTTTACAGCGGGCGCAGACCTTCGACTGAACTATCGCACAACTGTGATTGTCGATTGTTTCGCAACAAATTCAACTGTTTAGTTGCACAATTAAAATCGTGTTGTTTACGCACCTCCATATAAGGTCATAGGAATCAAAGCGAGTTTACTCAAAGGTGTGCCCTCTATGAACATCAAACTCTTGGAAACATTTTCAAGCAAGCGAACTCTTCAAATTGGCGCGTATGTGCCTATACAAGTTGGAGGAAGAAGTCACAAATTGCACACGTTAGAGTAAAGTTACGACGAAAGTTGGGAAGAACATTTCCACAATTGCTGGCTAAGGAATAATGACAGAGCTAAAGATTGTAAGTATAAGGAAGTTAACGAAAGGAATGTAAGTGTTGAGAACAAGTAAATATTAATCTTCAAGTGGTGAGAGTTCGAATTGTATTACTTCAACTTGCCTTTGTAACTCCTTAGCTAATCTTGGTTTGGCCTTACATGAAAAATGTACAATATTTTTATGCACTACAGATTAAAAATAGCAATATATTTATGACATGATAAATCTTATCTAATAAACCGATAAATATTGGCTGCAACCACGAAATAGTATGACGTCACGTTCCTGAGCGGCGTGCGAGCGAGAGCAGAGAACAACCGACAAAGAAGCACGAACAGTCCGGCATTGGACGTTCACAATATTTCATAAAATTGTCTCTTACTATTAAAATCACAAGGACATTCAAGGTCAACGGAGCTTTACTAAGCCTTATATACTACTAACCGTAAATCACCGTCAAAATATCCATTCTAAGGACCTAGCACGAAATTTTACGTAAAGTACTCAGACGATATATACTTGCGAATTTTCGTTCTATATTTTCCCTTCAGAAATGTTACTATGTCAGTTTTAGAGAAGTACATGTGAGATAATGTTTAAAATATACACTGCAGCCAAAACAATCATTTTAAAAGTCATTTTTATGTGAAAATTACTTGTGTTTGTTGGTTCGAATGTGGATGATATCCGTCGCTGTTAACACCGTCTTTGAATAGACTAATCTCGGCTGTCGACCGCACGGACTGTGGCGCCGGAGTTAAATCCTTTGACAAAACTTGACGGCTTTGCCGTGACTAATAAGCTATTGTGTAGCTTAGTTACTTGATTTCCAAGTTACCGACTAGGCTGGTAACTTAGGATTGAATAAGTTTCATTATAAAGCTAGTATGAACAGGTTTTATAAGAATGTCATAAAATTTTTATTTGTTCCCTAACAGAAAATCTACTGTAAAAAATGCTTAAAATTTAATATTCAAAAACACACATTTTTTTGTGTAATAAAAAGTAAAATATAAAACACTAGCTGTTGCTAGCGACTTCGCACGCGTGAATTATAAACATACTACAAAAAATAGCCTTACTTATAGAATTACCTTTATTTTTTTATCATTATTTAATAAACTTTAT